AGTCAGAAATTTCTTCCTGATGTTTAGTCAGAATCTCCTTTCTTGTAACTTGAATTCATTGGTTCAGACCCTAGCCTCTAGGGCAGGAGAAAACATGCTCCCTCTTCCATGTGAAGTTATTTGAAGATGGCTATCATAACTCCTCTCAGTCTCCGCTTATGCAACCTTAACATACCCAACTTCTTCAACCGTTCCTCATAAGGCTCGGTTTCCAGACCCTTGATCCTCTTGGTCACCCTTCTCTGCACATGTTCCAGCTTGTCAATATCCTCCTTAAATTGTGGCACCCAGAAGTGGACACAGTACTCCAGGTGGGGGCTGACCAAGGCAGAATAGAGTGGGACTATTGCTTCTCTTGATCAGGACCATGGGTCAGTGAACTTTTTCATCAGGGGGCCAGTCCACTGTCCCTCAGACCTTGTGGGGGGCCAGACTATCTTTGGGGGTGGGGAATGAACAAATTCCTATGCCCCACAAATAACCCAGAGATGCATTTTAAATAAAAGGACACTTTCTACTCATGTAAAAACATGCTTCCCAGACCATCCCTGGGCCGGATTTAGGAGGCAATTGGGCCGGATCCGGGCCTTAGTTTGCCTACCCATGATCTGGACACTATGCTTTTGTTGGTGCAGCCTAGAGTAGCATTAGCTTTTTTCCGCTGCTGCATCACGCTGTTGACTCACTATAAGCCCCTAGATCCTTGTCACATGTACTACTGTCGAGCCAGGTGTCTTGTAGCTTAGGAAAACGCAAAGGACAAATGCCAACAAAGAAGCATAGGAAACAATGAGAGCATGCTAAACCATGATGTAAGCACCCCTACTCTACTAGCGAGCCATTGTTTTTGGTAGGCAACAGAATTTTCAGGATATTTTCAGGAAATGTAGGGCTCGCTAGAAGATGCTGTCATATTTGGCACAGGCCGCGGCGTCATCATGGCACCAGTGTAGGAGAGATGGTAAACAAGGACATGATAGATTATGAAAGTTCTGAGGAGAGCTTGAATGGTATGTTTTTGATTCACTGGAGAAAGTAAGAGCCCGTGGAAATAAACAGGGATGGGTTGCTCAGTGGAGAAATATGTTTGTTGAATGTTTTTCTGTGTGTTTGTGTGTGTGTTGGATATATTACCTAGTCAAGGCTGGAGAAGGAAATGTTGCCATGGTCAAAACACGTTAATGAGCCTAGAGAGAAACTCAGTTGATGAGAGCTTGGAGGGAAAGGAAAGTTTCATCTTTACAGACGTCACAGTTAAAACTTTTGAGAAAGCACTGGCCAGGTTTCAGCCTATAAGATCTATGGGGTTTGCTCTGAACAGGCTGTGAGTACCTATCCTGTTCTCACTGGGCTCCTGAGGAAACAGGGGACTTGCCAGTGGCAACACCAATGGGGTAGCAACCAAAACAGTATCCAGGGCCAGTCCAATGTCAGAGGCTAAGCAAGCAGAGTCCACAACAAAGGGTCAGGCAAGAGACAAAGTCAGGACAGTACATAGTCAGGACTGGCATAGTTTCCAGTAGCAGGCAGGGCACAGAGCTGGTACATAGATATTGTTCCAGAAGCTCTTCCAACCCAGCACTGGACTTGCTTTCCCTTGAATATTCATAGGATTGAACATTCATAGGATCGTGCTCTTAGAATATTGCACATAGTTCTGCTTGTGTTGTCTCAAAACAGATATTATAGAATTGGAAAAGGTGCAGAGTATTAAAATGGTCAAGGAGTTGTGAGCACTTCCCTACAAGGAAACCACTTAGAGATTTTCTTTAAAATTAAGTGGCATACAATTTTTGTGAAATAAATACAAGTAAAATAAGGAGAAGCTTGAGTGCTTAGCTCTTCGTTGTTGTAAAGAAAGGGGGACGGGGGGGGATGATTGAACGGCATGAAATTTTATATGGGGGGGGGAGGTCAGTAAGTTTTCTTCCTCCCTCTTTCCCTAATAATTCTAGAATTTGGCTAGAACGCAATGGAAATGAGCGGCAGAAGAGGTTCGAAGAAGTTCTTTTCCATGCAAAATAACAATGATATTGCCTTGTTGCAATCCTTAAAACAGTGCTGAAAGATGCATCAGTAATATAAGATCAATTTATGGAATTAACTACCACACAATGTGATGATATTTAAAAGCTGAGATGCTTTTAGAAAGGATGAGGCAAACTCATCAAAGATAGGTCTGTCAACACCTATTAATTGGAATCAGAGGTGCCAGCTTGCAAGGGCAATTGGGGGAGGAGGGCGATGCTGTGTGTGTGGTGTACCAACGTCGCATACACAACTTTGGGACATTGGGAGGAGCCGGGGTAGAACCGAATGCAGTGGCAGTGCAGCTTCAGTGGCCGACAGCTCCTCCTCTTCCTGCTGCAGGAGTTGGCACCCCTGACTGGAATGTATGGATTGCTGTTTCTGATCCATGTCTATTGGGCCTGTGCTCATTCGTAAGACGTTTCTGTGCTGTTCCCACATCTGTCTGTGATTAATGGGGGTGTGTGTGTGAAAAATTGCATTGTTTCCTATTGTATTTGTTCCATTTATATATTCTAATATGCATTTTTACCCCAAAGCATGTATTTCTGATACACTTTTGGTCTGTTTGAGGTAACGACATTTCAAAATTCATAGAAGTGCAAAAACTGAAGAGCTCCAATCCATGCATTAGACTGAAATGACATCCTCAGGTATGATTAGATTGAATTACATCCTCAGGTATGATTGTTGGCCAATGTAGCTGACTGGAACGTCTTTGTACAGAGGTACTCATAGTACAAACTGCAGGGTAGCACGGCTGTCCCTTTCAGTGAGAGCCAGTGTGGTGGTGTGGTTAAGAGCAGTGGACTCGTAATCTGGTGAATGGGTTCGCGTCTCCGCTCCTCCACATGCAGCTGCTGGGTGACCTTGGGCTAGTCACACTTCTCTGAAGTCTCTCAGCCTCACTCACCTCACAGAGTGTTTGTTGTGGGGGAGGAAGGGAAAGGAGAATGTTAGCCGCTTTGAGACTCCTTCGGGTAGTGATAAAGCGGGATATCAAATCCAAACTCCGCTGCTGCTGCTGCTGCTTCTTCTTCTTCTTCTTCTTCTTCTTCTTCTTCTTCTTCTTCTTCTTCTTCTTCTTCTTCATGCCTTTTGTGGGTGCCCAGAGACATCTGCCTGGCTGCTGTTTGAAACAGAATGCTGGATTAAATGGACCTTGATGTGATCCAGCAAGGCAGTTCTTATGTTCATTGTTGGAGCACTCCATGGGGATTTCTCTGTTGCAGCAAAACCAGTCAAGAACCTGTTGTGGGTCATGCATCGGACTAAATGGGCTCCTCCAATGTATTATTATTATTATTATTAGATACATTTTAATAATAATATTTTATGGCTCTCTGTGATTTTATTATATTGCTTTTCCAAGGCCTCTTTTAGGGAATAATACTAATACTGATAACAATTTTATTACTTATACCCCACCCATCTGAGTTTAAGTAAATAAATAACTTACCTCACAAGGTTGTTCAGAGGATTTTTTTTTTCATCATTCAAACGTAACAGTTAGCTACAGGATCAGAGCACCCCACATTATTTCCATGGCTTTTAATGACATGGAATAGGGGACCATTGCCCAGACAAAAAACAATGGGTTCTGAGGAAAATGTAGAGCCTTCCTCCCCACCCCCCACCCTCGGTTAAAATTGCCTGGCTCTTCTGCCCGTCTTCATCCCAGAACTTTTCTGTAGCTGCCTAAACCCTGCTTGAAGGGAGAGGATTTTTCAAATGAAAGGAGCCCCTATGGGTGGGTGGGGGGAGTGAGTCAGGCACACCTGTACGTGTGGGAGCCGTTCTTGGAACCTCTTGGCTCCCGGCAGGAGCAGCCGCAGGTCCCACTACAAAGGGACCCCGGGGAGACTGAATAGTTTCCAGCCGAGAATGTTCCCCCAGGGCGGGCAATTAATAACATTCCCCCATGTTCAAAGGGAAGGCGAGGCCCAGGCGCGGCAGCATCTTGTCGGGACCCGGCCTGCTTCAGAAAAAAAAAGGATCTGCATGGGAGTGAAATAGAAAGGAAATACCTCCTGTTGACTAAGGAAAGGTGTGTGTGTCTGTGAGATTGTGCGAGGGAGAGAGAGGAGAAGGATGATCATTTCCAGAGAGGGAAGGCGGTTTGGTTCTGCATGCCCATCTAGGTCTCACAATGTCGTGTTCGGCCACCTGCCCATTCTGTTGATGGATTCTCCATATTTTGGGTTGTTCTATGTATAGCATGAGGGATGCGGGTGGCGCTGTGGGTTAAACCACAGAGCCTAGGGCTTGCTGATCAGAAGGTTGGAGGTTCGAATCCCCGCGACGGGGTGAGCTCCCGTTGCTCAGTCCCTGCTCCTGCCAACCTAGCAGTTTGAAAGCATGTCAAAGTGCAAGTAGATAAATAGGTACCGCTCCGGCGGGAAGGTAAACGGCGTTTCCATGTGCTGCTCTGATTTTCCAGAAGCGACTTAGTTATGCTGGCCACATGACCCAGAAAAACTGTCTGCGGACAAACGTCGGCTCCCTTGGCCAGTAAAGCGAGATGAGCACCGCATCCCCAGAGTTGTCTGCAACTGGACCTAATGGTCAGGGGCCCCTTTACCTTTACCTTTATGTATAGCATGTAGAAAACACACGATGGGTACCTTCAAAGAAAAAAGAGTCGAAAAGCCTAAGCAGCTGGTTCATTAGAAAAAAATATACAGTGGTACCTTGGTTTACGAACTTAATCTGTTCCGGAAATCCGCTCTTAAACCGAGGCGTGCTTTCTGTACTGAGGCCTCCCGCCACTGGTGCCCTTCCACTATTCGGCTTCCGTTTGTCTTCCAGCGCAAAGTTCGCTAACACCTACTTCCTGTTTTGCGGAGTTCGTTGTCCGAATCATTCCTTAACAGGGCTGTTCGTAGACTGAGGTACCACTGTACATAGAATCATAGAGCTGGAAGGGACCACAAGGACCATCTAGTCCAACCCCCTGAAATGCAGGAATCTTTTGCCCAACATGGGGCTCGAACCCACAACGCTAAGATTAAGCATCTCATGCTTTACCAACTGAGCTACCAAGGCAGATACATAAGTCAAGCAGTGTGTGTGTGTAGGAGACCGACCCAAAACGACAACATGGAGTGCAAGCTTTTGAGTTTACCAGAACTCTTATTCAGGCTGGATGTTAAACAGAGAAAGAAAAGTGAGAGAGACCGGGAGATAGAAAGATGTTGCTGGCCTTGTTGGAACCCTGTGTCTGTACTTCGTAACAGTTCAAAGGGAGAAGGAGCTTTGCAGACTTATCTAACCTGATTAAGCTTGCAAAATGCCTCCTCCATTATATCTGGAGAGTGTTACAAACACGAGCTTCTGTCATTCCCAGTAATACCTTTTCCCTTCCACCTTTCCCATTTATGTATTTGCTTATTGCTTAACATCCAGCCTGGAGAAGAGTTCTGGTACATTCAAAAGCTTGCATGTGATATTTTTAGCTGGCTTTATTTCTACCATCTCCATAGGTTATGCGAAGGCAGAGCTTTGTGCCCAAGTGATAAGTTCTGTCACTTGTTTCCAAAAAATATATGTATGGGGGAAAGAGCCTTTATAAGGGGAGCAACAGCAAATTTGCTTCTTTAAAAGAAAGAAATAGATATTAAGAATTGCAGCCAAATCCTAAATATGTTTACTTAGGATAAAGCTCCTGTTGATTTCAGTGGGAATTATTCTCAAGTATGCTCAGTGGAAAAAACTGCCCCAGGCACAGAAGAAGAAGCAGGGAGCTGTCTTTTGGAATCTATAAATATTTTGGAGGTGCTGCCTGTGTCGCTGGAGATCAGATGTGGGAGCTGTGGACTGTTGGGAGTGTTTAAGCATGTGTCTCTATGTATGCTCAACCTGCGCATTTGTAAATAAATGCAAATACTGCAAATGTTACAAAATACCCATAAGCTTCCAGGGACGGACCTTCAAAAGGCATCAGCAGGCAGTGGTGCCCTCCTAGTGGTGGTGCGCCATGAAAAGGATGGCATGGGATGAGGCAAGGCATATATCTTGCGGCAGCTGGACACAAAGATTTCTTCTCCACCAAGTTAAAAATGACTAAAACAGGTTAGTTGGCTGTTTTATGTCCACGTCTCATCAGACGCTATGTTCACAGGTTCTCCTGTTACCACAGGACATGGAATGGCCAATCCCCTGGAGGTCTCTCCTCCCACTGTAAGTGGCCCTTGTTACAAGCAAAATCCACAGTTTATATTTATTTATTATTGCATTTATATCCCACCTTTCCTTCAAGGGGCTCAGGGTGGCATATACTGCTATACAACACTGCGTTCCTAACCTCTGCCTCTTTCTATGGCCAATTGGAGCATGTACTCAGGCCTACCCTAGGATGGGAATCAGCATTTTGTCTCACTCCTATCATTGTCTGCTGTCTGCTGCAAAGCCAATAAGAGTTCAGGACTCTTAGCTTCATACGACTACTGATAGTGAAGCCCCACCATATAAATGCAAGCTATAAAGCTTCTTTCATGGACCAGCTTTGTAGGAGGAACACAGAGAAGGAATGTGTGTGTGCATATACTTCATGTTTTCCACTCAAAAGCAATTGCTGCTCCCTTAACTAAACAGTCTTGACATTTTTTAAAAAATGAGGAGAGTCACATAACAGCTTTTTACTTTTACTACTAATTTTCTCTTAATGAAAAGGAAGGCTCATTAACTCCTCTGTCTTCCTTCCTTTGGAACACTTAACTTCCTCTCATGTTGGATCTGGCCAGATAGGGCTTACCCCAACATTGTTTTGCTGACATTCAGAGAATAGCTGTGAGAGTGATAAAAGGAAAATCCTTTCAAGAAAGGTTGAAGCAGCCAGGTATGTTTGACTCAGGGGCCAAACCACATGTGATGTTGAGAGATCTGTGATTAGCACTCTCGCAGTTGTTGGACTGGTTTTGGGTTGTGTTTTTTTTAAAGTATTGTAAATGTGGCCACAGAGGAACCTAATTCAGATTGGGATCAGAGTGTGAGAGTAGGAGGGTGTTAACCCTCTCATGCCATGCCCTTTCCTCATCTGCCCCTCATCAGCAGGTGGTGCTATTTACTCTGCAGGGTGAAACATACTAGCATCATATTGGATGGAGGAGTGGGATAAAAACATTTTCTAACTGGATGAAAATGTCTCTGCCTTAGGTGTTCATTTGGTGGTGGTGGTTATTCGGTATTTATTTTTTATTTTAAAAGCTGTATTTACCGCTCCAGCGGGAAGGTAAATGGCGTTTCCGTGCGCTGCTCTGGTTCGCCAGAAGCGGCTTAGTCATACTGGCCACATGACCCGGAAGCTGTACGCCAGCTCCCTTGGCCAATAAAGCGAGATGAGCGCCGCAACCTCAGAGTCGGTCACGACTGGACCTAATGGTCAGGGGTCCATTTACTTTACCTAGTAATTGACCTTGAGGTGTATATAAAAGATGGTTCATGAAATAATAGTGATGATGATGATGATGAATCGGTAGGTTTTGCAACCTACCCATTCATCTTGCATTCCATTTGTCCCTTGAAAATCTGATCTAGAGGACTCTCAGTTCCTAGGATTTGAATAATATAGAACATTAAACAGAAATAAGGATCTGGTAAACAATCCAACCATAGTGACTGAGGTGGGCAGTCAAAGGCTGCAAATAACACTAGAGGCACAAAAAGGGAATCAACATTAAAGGTATTTAATGGGAATTGTAGTTCCAAAACAGCTGGAGGGCCAAGTTTGGCCATGCCTGGTCTAGGGGATGGGGAGAAATTTGATTCAGTTTGCGTTTAAAGGAAAAGCTACTGTATTTCCATTTTTTAAAACAGTAGATGAACCAGAACATAGCCATCCTTTAAAATGTGCTTTTCTCTGAATTTTGCACCTAATGTGTCCAAAAATGCATATACTGGGATAAAGTGTGCAGAAGAATGCATGTATTAGTGAAAATAACATAGATAAATGCAATAGGGTTAAGTGCAATTGCTTTGCAAAAGTTTTTATATTTGGAGATATTCACTAAGATGCTGATGAATTTTCATGAGGAATTTTTTCTTACGTTTTGCAAGCTGATGTGGAAACACGAAGAATAGAATTTAAGATTAGGAAAATGAGAAACTGGCAAGAAATCAGAATGGTCAGATTCCCCCATCCCTACCTCTTTATTCCCAATTGCCATTTCCCATTTTCCAACTTTGGGTGGGTCCAGGATATTACAAGTGACACCTCAATTTGTGTCACTGATCATATCCTCCTCTTAACTCAGAAGCCAGGCATCCTGAGAGCTGAGAAGATGGTAATTAACTTTGGCTTTCTCTCCTGATAATCAACGGGGCATGTGGCACTACAAAGACCTTGCCACTCAGTCTAAATGAATTTCCCTTCATCTTGTTCTGCATTCAGATCCTATTAGTACTGGAAGACTTAAGTTAAACCAGGCACCAGGCATGGCTGTGACCCAGTTATGACAGCACCAGTGTTGACTGAGTCAGACTCCACAGGCATTGCAAAACCTTGCAGGGACCAAGCTCAGGTTTCCCTCAGCACCCAGATTGGACCGTCCTTCCAAGTATGGTTTGGATTTCAAGATTTGCTTTCATTTTCCCTAGGCTGGTGTGTGAAACTTTGATAGCACTTTGGATGGATGTTTATAACCGGCCTCTGAGGCATGGCAAAAGGAGTGCGAACCTTCGCAGCAACTTTTTTGGATGTCAGAATAGATCCTAAGTTCCAGATCGGTGGTTTGCCAGCAGACTGAGGAAGGGAAGCCTTGCCTAGATTTTGGTCACATTGGCAAACAGAGCACAGAGCCGTTGTCTCCATCATTCTTAAGCAGGGTTGCTATGCTTTGTTGGAGACTGTCAGACTTAGAATAATAGAATTGTAGAGTTGGAAGAGATCCCAAGGGCGATCTAGTCCAACCCTCTGCAATGCAGAAATCTCAACTCAAGCATCGATGACATGGCATTTACACATATAAATCAACACATGCATATTTATACAAGCCACCCTTCTCTTTTGCCTTTTTTTTGGGGGGGGGGACAATGTGTAAATGTCCACCTTGAGGCTGCTTTTCATTTTTTAAAGGGTTGAGGTGCTACATGCAAGGGTATGTTAATGGTAGTTTCCCCCCTTAGGACTGATCAATGGATGTATGTGCTGTGTCTAAACTATATTGTTCCCTGCGTACATGAAAGCAACTTCCACCCATAAAACACATTGATATGCATGTCTATATTTTTCAGTATGTGTTGTTAGGTGCCAGTAACAAACCACTGGAATTCAGTATTATCAGTTTTGAATCCATGGCATTGAATCCCCAGTGACGTACATTACTGCAGGATGACATTGTCACAGAATGTGAATGGTTTAGATACTTAATATGCCAAGTTTGTACCTGGGGGGAGATGATGCTTTATAACATCTACTTTAGCTGATGCTGCAAGGGGAGATAGATGACCTGTTTTGGCCATTGCAAAAGTGGGAAAACAAGTGAAAGTTCATTAATTCTGTTTGCTTCCATCACTTGTTGAGCATCTTCAGTAACTTTTAATATACCCATCTGTAAGGTAACTTGTATATCCATTTTTTAAAAAGGAATATTACATGAGTATCAGCTTCCTATACTCAAAAACAACTACTAGTTTTCCGTAGGGCAGCCAAATGTTAGCATGCAAAAAAAGCTATATTGTGTGAACCAGCCTTAAAAAACAAGATATGAGGAATGACCCCAAAGAGCAGCAGCTGAATGGTTATAACAATTGACTACATTCCTGAAGGTTGTTGTCACCCTCTGTGTTGTTGTTGCTTTGCTTACATAAATATAGAGGGGAAGATTATGCAATGTGTTGTGGAAGGGAAAGATGGTTAATGCAGTACTGGCCAAACCTCATTATGTTTAGACCACTACCACATCTAACCATATCTCCCTTCCACAACCATCTTGGCCAGGACACACATTAGGCAGCAGCAAAACTGGGTTTGCCACCCTACAAAGAGCCAAAGCAAATATATACCTGCATGGAATATAGGTTTTCAAACACCTGTTTGTCACATTCAC